GTCATGATTTTAGTTCTCTTTATTTTTCTTTTTTTTTTTTTTTCTTCTCTTCTTCTTTTGTGTATAAGTGCATTGATGTTATACTTGAAATATATGTTTTGTTACTGACCTTAAGCTCGGAAATATAAATGTGAGTTGTTATGTCAGACAGACAGGTAAATTGATAGATTGATAGTATATGATGCAGTCCTCCAAGTGTATGGTGTCAGTTTCTTGTAAACTTGAAATTTGTGTATATTAGATCTGTGCATAGCTTTGATGTGTACAGTAGACTTAAACCACAGGCACAAGGTTGGTGCACTTTCCAGTGTACTTTTTTGTCAGTTTTATTCGCATTTTATTTATTTATTTATTTTATTTATATGCTCCACAACCAAGGTTTCATTTATGAATCCTACCTGACCTCACCTAGAATTTGCAGGGAGGGTTCTATATCTAATACTACTCTTATTATTATTAACATTATTAACAGTAATTATAGAAAAAAAAAAAATCTAGGAATGGGGTAAACTGATGTAATCAGTTATGTCTCCTTGGTGGCTTAGCACTTATATAATCATATTTTTATAAAAATAGATAAAACAGAAGTTAAAGTGCATAGGATGTGGAGACTAAACCCTCTTGGAATCAATAAGCTAATACATAAACTGATATATTGATATGAAAACCAAACCAAGAACTTTAGTTGTGATATAGTTTCTAAACTTTATACATATGTAAAAAAAAAAAAAAAAAAAAAAAAAAAAAAAAAAAAAAAAAAAAAAAAATGTGTACAAACCTTATCACATTTTTTTGTGTTAATTTTCAAGGAAAAAGTTATTGGTTTCTGAGAACGTGCTGCCTGGTCGATGTAAATTTCCGACACTGTTTTCTTTTCTTCGTGAGAAAGACTATTAGGGAGAGTACTTTGAAAAGTTATATTAAGTGAAGCTATGTATCCTTGCTGGATATAAAAAAATTCTGCAGTACCTATTTTTGCTTAAGAAATAAATACAAAGTATGAATGGAGACTGAGAGGACTACATACTTAACAATAGTTTCTTGGTATAGCCATTGCTTAAAATTTTAGAAAGTGAAGAATAAGACCTCCCTTCCCTGTTTCCTGCAGGAAGGAAGAAAGCCTATCAAGAACAGGCAGCACAGACTCAAGACACAAAATCTTCCACTCAACAAGAGTCAGGGTCCTTCAACACCAAGTCTGATGCCGACGATGGCCTCTTGACCAAAATTAAACGTGCTATTTTTGGTTAGGGTGCGTATCGGAATGCTACATTTCATTCTGCGACCCTCATTCACATTCATGGTTTTCATTATTTTACTGCGGTTGTAAGCAGGTGATGCCACAGTTTTAGGTACTAGGGATTTATTACAGGCATCCTTTTTTCTGAAATAGCCTTTAACGTCAAATTTCAGGTTTCTGCTTTAGTAGCTTGTGATAATTTTGCACCATTTTATACTCTCACTATGCCTTATTATCTTGGTCTTGTGGGACCAGTTGTTCATGTTGTACTCTCACTTGCACCAACAGGTAAACAAGTTGCTGTCGAGGAAAATGAAACTCTGAGGCAGATCCGTGCTATACTAAGGGGCAATATAGAAGAGATTGTTGCTCGGAAAGTTGCAGATGATGTGGAGGATGCAGCAGGGGACACAAAGAGACCAACAGAAGATGATAGTAAACAAGGAGACAGAGTTGGAGCCAAAAAGTAAAGGACATGAAATGTGAAGCACTGTATGTCTTGGTTTGTTAGCAGTATCAGAAAGGGGAAAACAGAGTGGAAAACTTGATTGTAATTATTGTTCTGTCTAATGTGTACAGATATATATTCTGTCTTGTTTAAAAACTCAGTCAGTCAGTCAGTCTCTCTCTCCCTTTCCTTTTCTCTTTCTTTCTTTCTCTTTCTTGCTCTTTCTCTCTCTCCTGTTTTTCTCAGGAAAGGCTTCCAGCTTTTACTATGCATTATGAGATTTGTAAGATCAACCATTTCTGTTGATCGTCTTATAAAGTGGTACTGTTTTCCCAATCACAGATGTATCACTATAAATATATTTCTTATTTTGTTTTTTTGTATTTGTCTCACATTTTTGCAGTGTGATTCTCAAACCAGTACAGGTTAACGCATAATTATTCTTCATGAAGGGATTTGTCTCCTTAAACTTTGCAAGAATGTAGTGTATAGCTGTGATCATGTTCAGATTGAGAATCAGTGTAGACATTAAGCTGCAAAATTGTTGCTTTGCAGTCATGTTGCAAATTTTGCTTCACTGTCATGTTTTTCAGTATTCTCCCTGAGCTGAAGGTGCAGATGATAAGACTAATTGAAGTTTGCTGTTAACAAATTTGATTGTTATGTTTATATAACTTGTAGAGGACCATTGTATTGAATTCAGACTCCTGCAGCAACTTCTGATCTCATGGCTCATAAATAAAAATTGCCCATGCTTAACACCTCAGACAGAATTCTTGTACTTTTGGCTTTGTAGAATAGGAACAATATCAGAATTTAAGTCATGGCCTATATGAACATATCATAGTTCTTGGCATTCTCTTGATTCTGACAAATTTGTTTCAAGAATGATTAATCTGCGGGTTAGTAGAGAATGAATTTATGAGAATTGGGTGCAATTAAGAGTACTTTTGTTCTTATCTTTGATGTTGAAGATATGTCACACAGGCTGTGATAGAAGATTAGAGATTTAAGAAGAAAATGTAGATTTTCCTATTCTTCAAGACATCGAAAAGAAAAGATGATTGTTCTTTACAATATCCTGGAATAAATGTCAGCAGAGTATTATGTTACACCAATGTGATATAGAGCAGCACAAGATTTCATTTTCCCTTGGCAAGGATAAGGTGCCACTATCGTCTATTACTATCTGGGTATAAATTCATACCTTTAAGAAAGATTTACAGTGAAACAAAGACTTGGCCACACACTCTGTCTCATATTTTTATATGGTTGAAGAAGCGTCCCTGTTTAACACTGGAAAATTCTTATTAAAGAGAAAGGTAAAAAGAAAAAGTGAAAGATGCTGTTATTGTTTCATGTTATTATAATGTATGGTTGAAAATACATGTACAGGTCTATAGATTCCATATTGTATATAGTGGAACAGTATTGAAATACACAATACAGTTTTAGTCTCATTGTTATTTACCCTTTTTATTATGCTTGATCTATTATTTTAATTGTAATGAGGAAAAACTACTTTCTTCTCGTGTTCTCTGTGATATAACTTGTTTTTGTTATTTCTCATCATCATGGATGATTTTATAGTTCACATGAATGATATTACAGTTGATCATTATTTCCCTTGAAGATTTTTACTTCAGTTGTCGTTTTTGTTAATTTTCCAATCTGTTTTATTCAAGTTATCTTGTCACTATTGCTTTGTGTAAAAGGCTTCCAGGTTTATTTTGCCAGTAGAAGATAAAGCACAGGTGATTAATTGAAGTTAATACTGATAGAGAAAAAATGAAATATTGTTCCCTGTGCTGGTGCATGCTTGTCAGTTTAAAAAGCTGTTCTTCTAACCACACCATATATATTTGGTGAATGCGAGTCCATTATCAAACTGCTGTCTTAACATTTTCATTCCTCAGATAAAGGCTTGCCTTGGAGTGTAAAAGGTAATGTGCACCTATCATATGAAGAGGCTTCTGGTATCAGGTAGAGAATGTTATTTGAATATACATTCTACAGTAGCGGACCAATAATGTTGCTTTGGGGTACACGAGAAATAAGGTATAGATCAAAGGTGTAGCCATTACCTATCGGTGCAAAGTTCCTCATGATGCATTTTGACCTGTATTAGGAGGTCACCAATATTGCCTAAGGATTTTAGTGTAGAAATAAACTTATCTCTAATAGTGCCTATTTTTTTAATGAAAGAGAGTGAGTGAGTGAGTGAGTGAGTGAGTGAGTGAGTGATGAGTGAGTGAGTGAGTGAGTGAGTGAGTGAGTGAGTGAGTGAGTGAGTGAGTGAGTGTGTGTGTGTGTGTGTGTGTGTGTGTGTGTGTGTGTGTGTGTGTGTGTGTGTTTGTATGTGCGCGCGCGCGCGCTAGCATCAAGAGCTTTGTTCCAGTGATGAACTGGAGTAGCAGATCAAATGATAATCTCTGGTGCCTGATAGCAACATACACAAGCATTTTAAATCTGATTTGTGTAGGAAGTTGGTGTGCGTTCAGGATCAAGCATTGTCTTAAAAGTTAGATGGTTCCTCCTGTCATGCATGTTTTGGATCTGATCACAACACACCCCAGTCCCAGGATGCTTTCCAATTGACAAAGACAAATATCCCAACTGGGCAAGCCTGATCACTATGAGGGGAGCCTCAATTAACTCCCTTGATCCGGATTTTTGGAGCCAACAAGGATAGTCCCTAGTGCGACGTATGTAGCAAGGCGCATAACAACGCAATGTTCCTCAAGGATAACGAGAGGTACAGGATGAAGTGTTCCAGCTGTGCCAGGAACCATCATGCCTGGAGCCGGGCCTGTTCTGCCAGCAGAGACTTAACTCTCGGGAAAGACAAAGCTGTTTAAAAACGATTAGACTTTATTTTTAATGCCAGTAAACCATGTCTAGGGACGGAGCATTTCCAGCTTTTCAAGAGGCAAAGAACCCCTGAGAATCAAATTTTCTTGAAGGATGTTGTCAGGAATGCCCAGGAAATTGCCAAGAGGGTCAGGTAGGAAAAGTGACTGGAACGATGTAAATCCTTTGGCCACCGGATCTTCCATACATAGGTGTATCACGGTTTCAGAGTTGAGGGCAAGTTAGGAACGCGCTTGGCCAGGCAGACTTGCCCTCCCCAGAGGCAGGGCAACTGAGGTTATGTTGTCATTAAGGAAAATAAGGAGGATAGACAAGATAAGTTCTTGTTCAGTCCTGTGTTTGGTCATGACTCTGAGGCTTTAAGTCTTTGGTGCAAGACTACATCCCCAGGAGCTGGATGTAGCATGGTTTCAGGTCTTCCAGTACCACAGGGTATGGATC